TTCTCTAACCTCAATACTCTGTTAAGTACTTTAGGTGATTAGGTAGAAGTGTCTATTTTTGACGAGGAGCTCAATCACATTGTAGTCTGGCAGTGTGTACAACTTCAGTACGTAGACCTGAAACCACTGGAGAGCATTTAGTCTTTCATTTTGGTATTGACTCAATGTATAGAAAGTATTTTTAAAAAGGAGAGAGAGAGTGATTAGTGTCAAGGGAAATTTCAAGGAAGATATGGAACTTAATTTGGTTTTTGAGGGGCCGTTAGAATTCAAGGTGGGTACAGTCAAGGGAATAAAGTAAGTAAAATAACAGGTAAGGGGGAAGCATGGCCCTCCCAAGGGACTGCCCACAGCTATGCACGACTACAGCAGGGGCTGTGTGTAGAAAGGAATAACATATACGTCATGTGCTTGGGTTTGGGGCTGATATTTGAGGAAATGAAAACCAGGTCGGGTAAAAGGAAGTGAGGGCTGCATTTATTATCACAGAACTATTATAGGGTGCTGAAGGTGGCATATGATAACAAACTAGTATTTTCAGAAGATGATTCTGGAGGTGGTTTGCAGCCTGCATTATAGGAAAAGTACCTTCTGTTAGGGAGATAAGCCAAGAGATTCTGACTCTAATCTAGTTGAGAGGTGCTAAGAGTTTGCACTTGGGCTGTGAATGATGGATACAAAAACTCAAATCCGAGAGAGATATTTTAAGGAAAAAATGTCAAGGCTCAGTGATAGGTTGACTATATGAGAGAAAGGTGAAAGACAAGAATAAAAGAAACTGATTTCTAACTTTATTTCCAATGACTGCAAGCATGATGATGCCATGGCTGACAGAAAAGAGAGAGCTGGAATTGGTGCTTTTTGTGAATATAAATAAATCAGCTTAGTCTAGGATTTAGTGAGATTCAGGACCACATGGTTCTGGATGATTTTAGAATATGCAGATACTAGTCTGATTTAGTCTGGGCAACTAGATCCTTCCAGAGGTGAAAGAGAAAGGGCATGAGTAATAATCATGGAGTGCCCTCTGTGAACCAGGGGTTGGATTTTGTGACCTTATGATATTTTGCCTAGATTTCGTTATGTTAATAATTGTCAATTACTGAGCACTTACTATGTGTGAGGTCTTGCCCTAAATACACCTACAGAGATTTTTTTTTTACTCGTTTAATTCTTACAAAAATCCCATAAGGTGCATATCCATTAACTCCATTTTACAAATTAGGAAACAGCTCACAACTTCTTATATGTCTAGCCCAAGATTATACAACTGCTATCTTAGTTGTTGGACAGTGACCATGTTAAGAATCTATCTGATCGGCCTTAGAAGACTCAACCCATTTCTAAAAGTAAACATAAAAGAAATAATGGCATTTGGGAAACCTGTGAAATGAAGTTTCATGCTCTTTGTTTCTCTCTGCAATCTATTTCCCACAGACTCCATTCAGGTAAGTCTCCCTAAAACTCAGCATTGATGAGGCCACAACCCATCTCTTTCACAACTTCTGCTAGCTATGTGCTATATTAATAGAACTTTCTGAGAAGCATAGACATAAGAAAGTAGATTCAGTCTGTTTAAAGGCAATGAGTAGTAGTAGGTAAGCACCAGTTAAGAACTGGTATAAAATCCATTTTATACTAAAATCTTTATACAATGGTTCAAGAAGAAACTATAGATGGCAGTAAATATATAAATATTCTAAGGAAAATATTTTCTGTTTAACCTAGGTACAGCATCATTAAATTAATAAATATGTCCTTAAAATTGCTCATAATTAAAAATCCAAAAGTGCAGAAAAGGCTGAACTTACTTTTGAGAGGGCTACATATTCTTTTGGATAGATGACAACTTTTTTTAAAAATTGTGGAATTTTGTTTCATAAACCAAATACCCGAATGACCTTTAGAGATCATGGTGTGTGAAAAATAAGGCTGAGGTTCTCCAGAAGCCTCAGGACTTAGCAGAGCTTAGTAAGAGGGCAGCCATTTTTTTTTTTTTTTTTTTTTTTTTTTTTTTTACTCTGCCTTTAACCCCTCACTGCTCCTTTATTTCTTAAGTAGAACTAAAGGATTTTTTTTTCATTTTATTTATTTTAGAGAGATAGAGATCAGGGGGAGAGGGGCAAAATGAGAGAGAGAGAGAGAGAGAGAGAGAGAGAGAGAGAGAGAGAGAGAGAATCCTAAGCAGGTTCTATGCTCAGCACAGAGCCCAACTCCGGGTCTGATCCCATGACCCTGGGATCACAACCTGAGTCAAAATCAAGAGTGGGACACTCAACCTATTGAGACACCCAAGTGACCCAGAATTAAAGGATTTGAAGACATTTATAGGTTATATTGTGCCCTGCCATAGTGACAAAGTAATCTTCATATATGCACTGATCTTTACTTAAGATGTCAGGGGTTTATTGTCTGAATTGATTTGGACACGAAATCCTGAGACTTGAAAAAGTATATAGTTTCTTCAGAGGGAACACCCTCTTTCCTACAAAAGCAAGGCCCAATTTCTTACAAGATTGGGGCCAACATTCAGATCAAATGTAAATGTGTGACTAATAAGTGGTTGGGGTAGCAATGCAGATTTGTGGAGCCATAGATGAGAGGGCCATTAAAACATATGGAAGAAAGGTCGGGAAACAAAATGGGATATAAAACAAGAAAATAATTTCAAGATTCATGAAATAGAAATAACAGACTATTCCCAATGGTAACTTTGATATGAGTCATTTCCATAGAATAGAAAGGAGAGGACACTTCATGGAGATTAAAAAATGAAAGGAAGAAATGAGCTAAATAAAGAAAATTCCAGAAGCTCAAAAGCTTTTGCATTAGCAATGCATATTTTATATTTAGCAATGCATGTTTAAGATGAGTACACATTTAAAAGATATTAATTTAAATAAATTAAAAAAGAGAAGAAAAACAAACCTAAGACATTACATTTGAAATTTATGAAGAATGAGGAAATAACTTGAAATATAAAGAAGAAATAAATTCTGATATTGTCCCAATTCAGTTTATTTATTTTTTTTCTATATTAAAAAATTTTTTTTAATGTTTATTTATTTTGGAGAGAGAGACAGAATGCAAGTGGGTTAGGGGAAGAGAAAGAGAGAGACACAGAATCCAAAGCAGGCTCCAAGCTCTGAGCTGTCAGCACAGAGCCCAACATGGGGCTCGAACTCACGAGCTGTGAGATGATGACCCGAGCCGAATTCGGACGCTCAACCCACTAGGCCACCCTGGCACCCCTAATTCAGTTTAAGTCAAGATATAACTAATGAAAGATGCACTATTAAGGGAAAAATAATCAAAACAGGCTTCTATAAGATCTGAACCAAAAACTGCATATTTTACAGATGCTTAGCAAACAAAAATTATTATATAATGTGCACAAATTTTCTAAAACGAAATAGTGTGGTCTTCTTAAAACTGAGGATTTAACACGTTTAAGTAATCCATATGAGTAATTTAAATCATTGTTACACATTTTATTATAATAACCAAACACTTCAAAAGTATAAAACTGTCTTTCATAATTGAGGAAATTTCAAATGTAAATGTAATTTAACTGAGTAATAGCTGAAAATGATTGAAGAAAATGTGTTCGTTTAAAAAAGTACGTAATTGTATTTTTGAAATGCAAGTCACAGTTTGTTTTTCTCATTATCCTGTGTGTTATGCATATGTGTGCTTAAGAAAAATCATAAATGGTTTGTGGGGTATGGTGATCAGGGGCACTACAGAAAAATGTACTTAACTGGAACAGTGCCCTCTACTGTTTTAGTTGCACAAAAGCAAGAACAATTTCTTCTCTAACAAGCGCACTCATGCCTTAGCTGGAAAAACAAAATCAAAATGTTATGTGTGGGAGGGGAAACAATTCCATAAATATTTTTGTACTATGCCATAAAAATGGCATTCTATCTAATTCTCAGAAATCATGTTTTAATGTTTATTTATTTATTTATTTTGAGAGAGAGAAAGAGCACTCATGAGTGTAAGCTGGGGAGGGGCAGAGAGACAGGGAGAGAGAGACAGAGTCCCAAGCAGTCTTTTCACTGTCAGCAGAGAGCCCAGTGTGGGACTTGATCTCACGAATTGTGAGAAATCAAGAGTCGGATGCTTAAATGACTGAGCCACCTAGGCACCCCACTAATTTCCAAAAATTAAGCACAAAAATAGTATCAATATCATCTAAAATCATTTATTCCAGAATTTATTTGAACCAGGTTTTCATAATTATACAAACCAAGTAGAATCCTAAAAGTTCCCAGAAAAGACCAATTTACCTCTTCTTTGTCAACTCTCAGTATCATTATAATGACTAGAGTTTACATCTATAAATATTATATGTAAATGCCACATGTAAAACTGTATCCCTCAAATCATGATATAAGTGAAGAAACAAGGCAACAACATATTGTGAAGAAGCACGAAATAAGTTCTTAGAAGCATCGAGAACTAAAATATTGACCCACTTGCATGTCTACCTAGCCATGTGGTCAACATCAATTTGCTATGTTTCTTGGTCTTGGATCTTCGTTATATAATTAAGTTTTTTTCATCTTTTTACCTTTTTTAAGCCCATAGATTCTGTGATTAAAATACATTTACAACATGTAAAACAAATTTCTTCCAAAATAGCACTGGGGATGGAGGGAGAGCGGAGTTCTACACAGACTATACCCAACACACAGTGCCCACCCCTAGCCATGGCTTTTCATTACCTTCCTGGTAACCCCCCAGAGCTCCCTGGAACATAGCTGGAATCTACATAATGGTAAATTCTCTAAGAATGTCAGTAGTTCTAAGATTCTGGATTCTATGAGGACAAATCTGACTCTGACACTTATCCCTTTGAGAGCCACATGGGATAAGAAGCTTCCATGGTTTTATGCTAAGTTAGTCTAAAATTCTGGATCATCATCCAGGATAAAATTCTTGGAGTGTCGTCATTTTGAGTGAATGCTAGAGATTTGTTTTCCGATGTTACTCACTGTGATCTGACACCAAACACAATGCAGTCCTGTCAGACCCTGGTAACATTTAACCGTCTTGTGGCACTTATCACACTTGGTTGGGCAGTTACCTTCAACCCAGTAATGGTGCATGACCTAGAATAAGAAAAGAACATTGTGATTGAGAGGAGGCATACCTCAACATCACCCTAAGAGAGCAAGTACAGCTACACACTTACATCAGTGTTCTTCTTGGACTTCACATACGTCTTGATGCAAGAAGGCGGCGCTCTAGCCACACAACGCTCATGCACTGTGTACTTGCAAACTGAAAAGAAACACGTATACACATTCAGAGTTAATGCTGGTCCCGAGTGCAATTGTATAGGGAAAGAACGACATTAACAGAACCTCATTCTACATCCACTGCCCCCTAATCAATCCAATCAGCTACATCAAGAAAACGTCTAAGTTGACTGTTTTTACCATGGAATACAAAAGGCCAATTAGTACAGGAAATATTATGCATGTGAAAAACCAAGACTCCTCTGTCATGGCATAGCAGGAAATGCTTAATTAAATCAGGCCTCACTCAAATTTTTCACAATAATTCCCAGATGACAGAAATATTAAAGACAAATTGATGACTGCCAAATGGCTTGGTGTCATTTGCTAGAAGGAAGAGATCTATATTTTACAAAGTATAGGCATGAGGGCAGCTGGAGGGCATGGAAATAAAAGCCCACGAGTTTATGCTATTTTCTCTATTGATTTATCTAAACCTTAAATGGCTGATTAGTCCATTTCCAGAGAATAGATTTCATCATACATGCCAGGCCTTCAGAATAAGTTTATCCCTCACTTGCCATGATGGCACTGCTTGTCCAAAAGGAACCACCTATTCTAAAAGAGCTCTAAATGTATAAATATATAGAATAAAAACTAAATAAAAAATTACTGTGTAGTCCTCTCAATAAGGCAAAAACAAACCACTACGTAGAATTGGAATGAACAATACTAAATTCACATATTTATATAGTAAAACTGTTTTAAAATATCCACAATTTTTATTTCCTTGGTGACTTTGAAGACGAAATCACACTTTTTCTTCTTTTCCATATTGGTAACAATGTTGAGTATTACATTTGTCACACTGTTCAGTTAAAATTTGTGAGCAAAATTCTCACTCTCTCTTTGACGGCACTCACAATGAATTATCATTTTGTTTCATATGCTCCCATCAGTAGAATCTACCATGAAAAATCCTTTTCCTTAAAAGTAACAAAGTTTAGGGGCACTTTGTTGGCTCAGTCAGTTAAGCATCAGGCTCTTGACTTCAGCTCAGGTCATGATCTCACAGTTCATGAGTTTGAGAGCCCCGTATCGGGCTCCACCCTGACAGTGTGGAGCCTACTTGGGATTCAGTCTGTCTCCTCTCTCTCTTCCTCTCCACCACTCATGCTCTCTTGCTCTCTCAAAACAAATAAGTGAACTTTAAAAAAATAAAGTTTAAAAAGAGATTACTTCCTTTGTACATAAAGTATGTTCTAGCATAACTAGCCTCTCAAATGTGGCCACTAGAAACTGCCCTCTGAAGTGACATAAGCCAATTTCACATAACTTTATTAATATCACTTAAACGTGGCATTAAAACATGGTTTTTATGTCAAATGGGACACGTAAGAGGAAGTCAGTTCTCAGATATAGTACCAAAGATGCTGCTACCTAAAAATAGTATCGGAAGCCAGCAGGGCTGTATGGAAGCCAAGTAAGAAATTAGATTTAATATACATGCACCAAAAAATGGGATGTGTTTAATAAACTTGACAGTTTCTGGGATACCTGTGTGGCTCAGTTGGTTGAGCATCCAACTCTTGATTTTGGTTCAGGTCATGATCTCGCTGTTAATGGGTTCAAACCCCATATTGGGCTCTGCACTGACAGCATGGAGCCTGCTTGGGATTCTCTCTCTCCCTCTCTCACTCTGTTCCCCCATCCCTGGTCACATGCTAGCTCTCTCTCTCTGGCTCTCTCTCTCTCAAAAATAAATAAGTAAACATAAAAAAGTACTTGACAGTTTTCAGTAACTCCACACATAGCAGAAAAGGAGATGGTTGGACAAATTGTTGGACTAAGAGAATGGCATATTTATTGATTAGGACACACTATTCCTCTGTTTTAACAGGGTCAAAAGAAAATGTAAACATTTCTCAGGCATAAATATTGTGTATTTAAAAATACTTAGGTGACTTGTTAATAAATTCTTATCTATACTACCAGAAAACTCTAATGGGCAGTACTCACTCAACAGAAAAAAACGGAAACTGTAAGGGTAAGTGTACTGAAATGGAAATAATGGCCACAACTCATGAAGTGGCAACCCTTTGGTTCCCAATATCCATTAATCATATATGAAGGTTTTCCTCACGCTAGCATTAAAAATTACTTGCCTGAGCTTTAAGATTAGTTTGTATCCTTAATTTGAATGCAAATTAGTAATTGATTAATTTAATTGTTCTTAAAAGACCTAAAAGAAATGTCTCATGATAGGAAGACAATGTGAATTAAGTGGCTAACTTGGAAAAAAAGGGCAAATATGAGTAAGATAAAAATATGAGAAACCAGTGGGAATTTTCATAATAGTCCCAGAAGAAATGGGAATCATACATAAATCAAACTACAATGGAAAGAAAATGGCTACTCAATTGGAAAATGTCCTTTGTTCTTTTCCAAGGGGAAGGTTTCTCAAAAGTGAAGAAAGATAAAACCAGAGAGACCTAAACATTTAGGAACATATTGCAGGGAAACATGAATCCTAGGTACAGGAAAGGTCAGAATCATTTCTTAGGTCTCCATCTACAAATAGGACTATTCCATGAAATCAACCTTTCCTCCAGGTGATGACGTCCAGGCAAAGTAAATATACTCACAGGAACAGCAGAGGCCCTGCTTCCCCACACCAATCAGCATGTTCAGGCAAAGATTGCAGTAGGCAGGTTTGTTAAAGTGTTTGAGTCGCCACACATGCTGTCCGTCATCCTTCACGTTCTGCGCAGGACGCAAAAGAAACAGATTTCACTTAATGAAATAAACAGTGGAATATGCAAGTGCCAATAAAATTCAGAGCTGGACTGAGGCATTTGAAGACAATCTGTTATTTCATCCCTGACTTTCTCCAAGATCGCCCAAGAGTCTAGAAAAACACATGTGCTCTAGTGGAATGAGATCCGCTAACACATCTCGGATACTATAGCAACGCACACATTCTTGTCTAATGTCAACAGTTCAACAGCATGTCCCAAACCATCATAATGACCTGGCAAACCGAGCACTCCCTAAGAAAGGGGACATGCTTGCCTCGCCTTTGAAAATTTTATCCTTAGAACAATTCCAGAAAGAAGTAAATGAATAAATAAAGAGAAAACGCTCTTCTTGAGTGGAAAAGCCTGACAAATACAAACTTGGAAAGAATGTTAACCCTTGCTTAGTAGTAGGAATATTCAAATTTCATGATAGGGGGTCTTAAAGGAGGCAGAGGAATGGATGGAATGGGGTGGGAAAGAACAATTACTTAAAGGTAAGTTATTGGTGTTATTTTAAGACTTCAGTTGAGGACTACTTACACCTTATAATTTACATTAGTGTATTTTTGTATGTCACAGCTAGCAAAATTTAAAAGATAAACTTTTTTAAGGACTTAATTATATTATTATCGGACTTAATTATATTATCATCTTGTTTATTCCTCTTCCATAAAATATGAGTGATTTTGATCTCATAGAAAGGTGCTAAAATATTAAAACTGTATTATGCTATTTATTTATAACAAGCACTATAGTTATTTGCTATAATAATCTTAAGTTTGAGTTAAATCACACTTTTCATAACAATTATAATTATGATTTATTCTTCTAAGTAAAACTATATAATATCATAATAGCTATTTCTCTAATAGGTATTTAATTACATCTATATTGTTCAGACTGAAGTAAAATGAAATACTAAGATGCTCCTGAATCTCTTGAATTCCTTACAAGAAGGTCAAGATACTAAATGAAATTATTAAATACCATTACTGTTGTTACTATCATTTTCTGTCCTTGCAGAACATGTACACCATTCACCAAATTCTATCAAACTCAGATTAATTTTAGGCATCACTTATTCAATGGCAACCATTATAGGACATGATATTTCACGTTAGCCTAGTTATTATATTTTTCAGAACACATTCACCTAATAAAACTTTTTGATCACCTACTGTGTGCTGTGACATGAATACATTTTCCATAGTGGTGGGACAATATAAACATGTCCATATCGTTTCATTTTTCTTTATACTAAAATATTAATAATAATGCTTCCTGACCACCTTTTTTTATTTCCAGTGAGGAGATAAAACCATCAGATTTAAAATACTTGATTAAATCCATAGTAACTAACTCTTACATTAGAACCAGAAATGTCAAATTTGCATCATAATATGAAACATTAATGAAAATGTTTCCTGGGAGATAATTCTCCATGGGTGTCTTGAATTTCTGCACATTTTGTAAGCAGAAGAACTGTCATTTTTTCCAGGTTATCTTTGTAAAGATATTTGAAAAACAGGTAGCCTTGGACAATAGAGAAGGATCTCCCTACAGAGCAGAGGGCAGTTTTACTTACTGTCCAGTATAATAAAAATAATCTCTCTCTTCTAAGAAAAGGTTAAGCAGGTTTGTTTATTGCACATTATAAAAGATTTAGTTTCCCCGAGCCAGGGGATCCAAGCTCTGAGGCTGTGCACAGTGATTCCTTGTGACATGCTCCATCACCTGTGTGAGACTATAGGCCAAGAGAACTGGCTCAAACATGCAGCTCCTACCTCTTGCTGTGCTATAAATAAATGTCCTTTGTTTCTGACCCAGGTGTCTCATGTCCTCTGCCAGCATACATGAAACTTGAACAAGCTAACTTGCTAATGTGCAAGTAGGGAACTTCTTAGGCCCTTCACAGTTCTGGACAATGTTTAGTTTTTTTTGTTTTTTGTTTGTTTGTTTTGACAAACAAGCTGTCAACAAAAGCAGTTATGCTAAGGGTATTGTGGAGAGGACATCAGAAAACACTGGTGTTTTAATTTTCTTCCACAACTTAAGAAATAGTTTTTATAGTGGTGCCTGAGTGGCTCAGTCAGTTAAGTGCCCAACTCTTGATTTCGGCTCAGGTCATGATCCCATGGTTTCATGAGCTCAAGCCCTGTGTGGTGCTCTGCACTGAGAGTGGAGATTGAGATTCTCTCTCTGCCCCTCCCGGCTCATGCTCTCTCTGTCTCTCTCAAAATAAATAAAATAAAATAAGAAATAGTGTTTATAGTACTTTCTGAATCCAGTTCTAATTTGTTTGAGCCATGAGATTTCTAGTGTTGTTATTATATGAATGGAACATTTTATATATTTGTTTAGCATTGCTATGTTTTTCAAACTGTCTGTATTTTAAAATTTCTATTCCTTAAAATAAGAATAAAACATTCTAAGTGAAAAGTTTAAGTGAGGGGGTTGTTAATTTAATAGATATAGATACAGATATAGATATAGATACAGATACAGATATAGATACAGATACAGATATAGATATAGACACATAGCTATAGATAGGTAGATAGAAATAATACATAGATATAGATAAAATCAGGTTAAACAAACATTCTTAAGTGAAAAGAGGAAAGAAAAAAATATGGAATTTTAATACATATTACTGTTCTTATAATCCTTGTCATTTTATTTTTAAATGAATGTCCATTACATGTGAATAAGCCTCATCTTGTTGAAGAGCACATATGGACTAAGTTAGCTGGCATTTTCCTTATCAAAAAATAAACAAGTCTGAACGTGGGTGTTCTGTCAATCAGAACACTTAGCCATGTTACAGGCTGTAACTGATGTACAAATCCATTACCCAGACATAAAATACTTTACCAAAAAACAAATTAAATAGCTTTATAGCTCTTAACCGGATACATTGCCAAAATATGCAAAGGATGAAATATGTATGTGACTTCAAGAGAAGAAATTGAAACCAGGAGCCAACTATTTCTCAGCAGTGCAAATTATACTCCAGCCCTCTGTATTTTCATGTCTTGTCTTGTTTGTCTTATTAAACTTAGTGGGGGACAGGGAGAATCTGTCCCTTATTATATTCTATCAGCCAGTAGAGCATGTCCCTAATAGTACTTCTCTTGCAAATAAATATTTATTGTCATAGAAAGGAATTCATCTTTTTAAACAAGAAATGAAGAGAAAAATCCAGAAGGCTTGATTCCTGGCCTACTATGAAAATGTGGATAAGCCATTTCACCTCTCTTCCTATTTTCCTCTCTAATAAAATGGAAACACCTACTTTCCTCTCCCAGGCTGTGGTGTGAGGTTTCATTATACAATACCTGTGAAGTCAATTTAGCTCCTCAGAAGATTGGTGTTATATAAACAGCAAATATTATTACTATCATTGGGTTGAGTTGTAACATCCCAATGTTTTAGCCAAAAGACTTGAGAAGGATGTTTGTAGGTTTACTATACTTTGTTTCATAAAAAATCTGTTCTGTTTTTCATTACCAGACATCACTTTTAGTAGAAATTTCCTCCTGATATTTACAAAACACTGTATTTTATAAGTGAAGTGGTTCAGTTCTGTGAACTGATTATGACAGAGAACCACTTAATGAAACGGAGGCAAGTTCACACAGAGAAAGAGCCCTAAATTCCTCTTCCCTTTTTACTCCCTAGAAGTCAAAAGGAGGTTTCAAAGGCAAGAATGCCCCTTGGAAATTTTTGGAAGCTATTTCATGACCCTAATGATTTCTAAAGTTTTAGTTTTTCCCTAAATGCATCCAAGATCACATATCATGTTCAAGTGAACTAGGGCTACTATAAATAATCTCATTTTTTCAGAAGACCTGAAGGAGAAATTTACTAATGCCATAGCCAAAATGCCCCTAATCCCCATACCGGGCCACATCCCTGTCTGTTTCAGCTGACTTCACTTAAGACACTTTCAAGAGCAAATGTTGCAAATTAATTCCAACTTATTAAATAATAATGGCCATTCAATTACCTCCCTTTTCTGCTCAAGGTCTCCAAAAAGATATAACAATATGTAAGAAAATGCTCTTTAAGACAGAAAGATGAGTTACATCAGATCTGGGCAAAGAGAATGCAGAGAGACAGTTTAAAATTCTGAGTAGAGTTGCAATCAACGGCTTATCTCCAGATCCCATTTTTAAAAGCCAGGCTCAGGACCTGCCATTCTTGGGTTCAAATGCAAATCCAAGAGCACATCACAGCACCGAGCTGGCGTCCTTGAATGACCCAACTTGGAATCTCAAGAATTATTGCATTTATCCACTTCATAAATCCTTTCTAGATTGAGCAATGCATAAACAGCAGAACAACAGCTCAACCAAATTAAATTTAAAAAATAGAGTGTGAAGCATTAGTTTTCCAAATATAGCTTAGTCTATTAAGAATGCATCATCTTCGGCTCTCCATTATACTCAGAAATTTCATCAGGAAATAGACTTCATCAGAAATCAGGAGGCACACCAAGTGGTTACTTTTACTTTGCTGAGTCAGCTGAAAATATGTGTCCTAAGACATTCTGATCAACAGCAAAGTTTAAATGATGTATAGTATTTAAAGTCCAGGATTCTGAGAACACATAAAATGAAATGAAAACATATATCCACTCAAAAGCCATACATGCCAGATGTGGGCACTACAATCCAAGACTAAGAAGTTAAGGTATTCTTATCTTAAGCCAGGCTCCTACTTAAATGTGTATTTCTGTTTTTATGATAATATGAATTCAGGAATTTTTCTGAAAAACCTAATAATGATCCAAGATTACTGATTTTAGGAATTGCAGCACTATGAATTATCTTGTTTATCTAAAAAAAAAAAAAAAAGAAAGAATAACTGAGTTGAAAGAATATTTGAAAAGGAAAGGAATATTGTTGCCTAGTTTCTTTTTATGTATCTAGAGAGAATGAGTGGCTGGCACAAAAATGACCTAGTTAGTTAGTTAGTAACAGAGCCAAGGTAAAGATCAATTTGATGAAGTTCACTGCTACCGTACTATCTCTTCATTAGTCTACATGTCTTGTTGGGGTTGTCTAACTGAGCTAAATAAAAAGATATTAGATTCCTTTCTCCTAAATGACTAAATATAAATTAATACTCTTTCTGTTTCTAATATGACAGATAAGCGACAGAATAAATCATGGGTCAGAAAACTATGGCCTGTGGGTAAAATCTGACTAGCAAGCTGTTTTTGTAAATAAGGTTTTCCTGGAACACAGCTTTGCTCTTTCCTTTACTTAGTTCCTGTGATTACTTCTGTGCCAGCCATATGGTGGAAATGAGCAACTGCAACAAAGACCTTATAAATAAATGACTCTGCTTCAGGTATAATAAAAATCACAAGCGACACCCAAACTCTCAGTTTTCCTTCAGATGTAACAGACTGTACCATTTCATACTGGGTTTGCTAAGTTTCATGGCCTTCTTTTTTTTTTTTTAATTAAAAAAAAATTTTTTTACATTTATTCATTTTTGAGAGACAGAGAGAGACAGAGCACAAGCGGGGGAGGGACAGAGAGAGAGGGAGACACAGAATCTGAAGCAGGCTCCAGGCTCTGAGCTGTCAGCACAGAGCCTGATGCGGGACTCGAACTCAAAGGCTGTGAGATCATGACCTAAGCCGAGGTCAGATGCTTAACTGACTGAGCCACCTAGGTGCCCCTCATGGACTTCTTATAATAGAAAAGAAATGACTCTTATTCTCTAGCATTTGATATAGAATCAGGTTCTGATAAACTACATTTGTGATTTTGCTGCCAAAACAGATAGTACTTGAAATAGAGTAAATATTTAAAGTCTATTGATGGAGAAAAATAAACTACCATGAAATCACAACTGTTCTGCTTTGCATTAGAAGTAAGGATTTCTCTCCCAGGACAATGTTCTTATCTGTGTAATTTGGCTAGTACACCACAGTCACTTTCAAATGCACTGCGGTATTTAACAAGCACTATCAATTAGAATCTACTCCCTGAGCTCATAATTGACAGAAGACAAGAATGTATAGGACAACATAACAAGACTGGCTGCACAATAAATAGCTGGATTCAACCTAAAGCTTCTAGATTTCCAATTTGATTAGCAAAAGGGGGGGGGGCTTGGGGGCTGGAAGGGGGAAATGGCATCATGAATCAAATTCTCTACAGGTAATAACATAACACATTAACTGCCTACAGAAAAGGAAATAAATCTCAATTACTAAAAAAAGGCCCTCATCACTCAGTTGTCATTGTGTCATTCCTGCTTTGTATAACACTTTCCATGCTTCGGAATTAAAAAGCTGTTTCTAACAAATAAATGCTCTGTTTTGTGATCATAATTACATGGCTTATACATTTTATTAAAAGACAATTTAAAACATTATTGGCTTATTCTTTTTTAAAAAAGCAAAGGAAAAGGGATATTACTCTCAGAATTCTTTAGAGAGGAAAAATTCCATCTCCTATTTAAGTTGATCAGTAAATGTTAAACGATGTAGCCATGCCATCTAGTGGCTTTCACTGGAAACACAATTTTGGAACATAGGTCTGGTTACTACTTTGAAACCCTAAATGGATTTCTCCTGTTAAACTCCAAAAACATCTCATATTACTAAAAACACAAAATATAAACTTAATAACATGATTATAAAGTATATTAGGTATGCTTAGCCTGATAGAAATTCATGACAAAGAATTTTCATTCAGTTGAAATAAATTTACTGCTACATTAGAAACCGATGAAGTATTGTATTTGTTTAAAATAATTTGAATTAAATCTATCAGGACTTGTGGATTGTATTTACCCATGCTATTTTCACAACCTTATAAATAATATATATATGTGTGTGTATATATATATATATATATATATATATATATATATTTATAAAAAATCTAAACAACTGTTTCCTTAGAAGAACATCATTTCAAAATCTTTATGTAATATTTTAAAAATAGATGACTAAGTTTGCATTTCTGCATTTTGCTGTCCAGCATACCAAATACCAAATAGTGTACTTACTCATTCCCATACATTCTCTCATACTAAAATTTCCATAAATATTTAGAATAAATGTAATTGTAGCTTTAAAAATATAAAATTCTCTTTGAGGGAAATGTTATTATCAGAACATCTTGACTAGCATATGACAACTTTTTCTGTTTAAAGTATACCTTACTCCTTAAAATGTTAACTTTTGTTAATTTTCTTTTTGTTTTCTCCTGATTTATTTACATATAGTTTAATCAGGTGTATTAAACAATTAAACAAATATTTAAAATATAGAGATATACAACAGGTTCTTACCAAAAGATATCAGGTTATGTATTGTATGAGAACATCAGATATAAGAAAAAACTGCCTCATTAATTTTCAAAATGTAGAAATATATATCTATTAACAATAAGATCTACTTTGTTTTAATAAATTATTTACTTTAAGGATAACTTCCTTGTATATCACCTATTAGCAATTTTTCTTTGCCTTCCTATGACCATATCTAAAATCCTATGGGCCTCATGAGGGGTAAGCTTAACCTAAATGTGAAAGAATTTGAACATTCAGGTGAAAAAGAGAGAAACGCTAGTTTCCTAAAGCCCACATATATATTCCCACACCCATATGTAAAAGTGTACAAACATATTTGTGTATATTCTCATATGTCTTACAAATACAGACTGTAAGATTTCACGAGGGCTTTAAAAAATTTGGTCTCTTCTCATAAATATGGAGAACAAAAAGAGGGTTACTAGAGGGGATATGGGAGGGGAGATGAGCTACATGGGTAAGGGAAATTAAGGAATCTACTCCTGAAATCATTGTTGCACTACATGCTAACTAATTAGGGTGTAAATTTAAAAAAAAAATTAAAAAATATTTTGGTCTCTTGAGTAACTGTGGTATAGTCTTGAATCTGCAACGTTGTTAGCTCTGGTAACAAATAAGTAGGAGAAGTTTTGGAGTCAGCAGCAAAGTGGTGGACGTGATGTTCTTGCATTTCAAAATTCTAAATATTTTATGTGTTATGGTGGTTTCCATAAGTAATGTTCTCTAAATCTTAGTATACATTTTATTATATGCACATTAGAATTAATTCTTTTTATTAATGCTACATACAAAAATCCAATAGTGACTCATTGACTTTGATTACTGAAATTGACATCAAGACCCGGCAGCAAGATTCAGTTTCAAACTCACTGTTTTATCCCATTCTAAACTTAGGTTCATTTATTTTCTGGCAAACCACTTTTTAATTACCACTGGAAGCAATGATATAAGAAAACTTTTGATAGGCTTAGAATGAAAAGCTGGCTGATCTGATGATACGTAAGAAAAAATTATGTTTCATATATACTCTTAACTACCTCAGTATATAATTGGCTTCTCCAAGTATTGGTTATCAATAAAATAGATTTTCTTCATGGGGATGGTGATTATGGAATGAGAAGGAGCACCACAAGAACCACAGACTGTAATAATATTGGGGAGTTTCTTGCAGTAAATAAAATGAGAAGGTCAATATTTTTTTTCAAACTAGATCATATTTTAAATAGAGAAAAAAAGAAATTACATATTAAATAATAAAGCAATACCTAAAATGAATCAATGTGTTTGTGGCAAGTATTACTCACAACTTATTATGACACTGCACTGTGGTATACTTATTAAAAGGTCCAGGCACTCACTACATGCTTAATGACAGAAAACGGCCAAATCAATTTATAATCAAAATGTGTAATGGAGCACCCCACTGACTTACCACCAGGCCACCCTCTTTGTGTAAATGCTTACATTTTCCAAGCCCAGGAGCACAAGAAGTGGAATTGTTGTCATTCCTCCTTGGATCCATTCCTCCAGAGAGACTGTTCCATCATGATCATAGTCTATTTCTTCCATCATTTCATGGAGGATCTGGAGTAGAAGAGATGAGGGAAAGCTTGCAGTGAATCAATAAAATGCATTTCAAAAGAAAGAATAAAGCATTGCAATGAATTAGCTAAAACAAACTGACCAGCAACTAACTGCAGAGTAGAGATAAATACCTAGGTAAATTGGTACAATGTTAATCCAAAAACTGTGGATATCGTGGCTTTGTTATGATTTCTGGAACTTGACCACCTATGATGTTCAACTTGTAGGAATAACTGCTTAACTTTTTAATACTTCTCAGTGAATGATACAGCTAAAACAAGAGGGTATCTTTAATTTAAGGGTGAAAGTGGTCTTTAATTGCTTTCTCTAGATTTTTAAAATTCATGTATATGCCAGAAAATGTCTGAACAAATTAACTTCATGGCAAAGAGCTGAAGTAATTCTTTGCTAAGTGGTAAGGGGTGGAGGAATTAAGTTGCTTTTAATTGTCTATCAGAACTTAATAAATCCAAGAAGTTAAATCATCAAGTCATTTTTGATTAGGTTTCTTTTCTAAAGTTGACTTGTATAGAATGTCTCAAAATGTTCTCTATAGTGTTTGTTGGTAATACAACTATCTCTTTTACAGTGGTAATATCAGTATTTAATCCAATGTGTTTAATAAGTATGTTAATTTACTGTAAGCTTTTTCAAAGAGCATCCAGAATGTATACTAAGTATCACATAGGGGCTGTTAATATTACATTAGCAGAAAGTATATGTGTGTTCCAAACATATTACCCTTGCTTTCTGGGGAGATGAAGTATTTCCATCTAATAGCACCAAAATGCTAATACAGAAATTTTAATCAATTCAGAAAAAAAAAGATACATGGAGAGCATTAGAACAAAAATTTGAAAGATGCAATAAATGAAATACTTGATATGTTGATACAGTGTTGTTTGCCTAAAAACTCCTGAACTTAGTTGATTGGTGTGGTTCCTCACGAAGTATTTGAAAATCAGGTTATTTTCCTTCATACACACCTAAAGGTAGGTACTGAGAAACAAGAGAATTTTTGGAACAAATAGTGCTGAAATAATCATTTTATTATTCTCCAAATGAAAAACAGGGGAAATTATTTAGAATTTAGCAAAAAGGTAGAAGATACTGTTAAAATCTCCTGCCCCTTGAACGTACTTTGATGAACTAGTAGAAAGAATAAATAAGAAGAAAACTAAAACACAGAGCATTGTTTCAGGTGGTTGTACCTCATACATCTAATGTTAGAGCCTGGGTTCATTTTTTAAAAACCTTTTCCAAGGACGTCTCAATATTCCCCATTAACTGCCATGAACCTCAAATGTTCAATTGTTTTTATTCATATGTGTAAACTTATCAGGTGTCTGACAATGTGTACAAATGTACACACTGGTTTAAAACAGGCAGAGTTGGGGCGCCTGGGTGGTGCAGTCGGTTGAGTGTCCGACTTCAGCCAGGTCACGATCTCGCGGTCCGTGGGTTCGAGCCCCGCGTCGGGCTCTGTGCTGACAGCTCAGAGCCTGGAGCCTGTTTCGGATTCTGTGTCTCCCTCTCTCTCTCTGCCCTTCCCCTGTTCATGCTCTGTCTCTCTGTGTCTCAAAAATAAATAAACGTTAAAAATTTTTTTTTTTTTTAAACAGGCAGAGTTGCCGAATCATTAGGCAGGATGAGGCATGCCGTTCCCCATGATGGCAAACACACTGCACAAGGTAAGTCATTTTATCTTCACTTTCTACTATTTATACTACTCACAGAGGTGACAGATTTATCAGTGTGTGCTGCAAATGACAAATAATGCCATACAGTTTATTATTTATATTTTCTAGTAGGGATCTGTCATAATTAGACGGCCCAGCCACCAACTGTTCCCTTCCTCAAATCATCCACATCTCCCTTTTACTCAAATGTACAGCCTGCCAATATTTTGGGGGAGAGAAAGCAGTAGTGCCGCCTTCAGCTTTAAAACCTAATATAAAAAACATCTTCCTTCTTTCCATGGCTCCAGTGAGGACAAGAGACTTGACTGAAAGATGTACCATATTTACAGGTATTAAGGTGAGTAGGATGGACAAAGCTATTTTAGATGAACATAACCCCAAAGGACAAAAGAACTTAAAAGTCCCTTAATTTCAGTGAAAATAGTACTAAGATGAATCAAGCAGTAATCTTAGAATTAAATACCATTCTTTTATTATTGAATATAAAAACTGCAACCTTGTTCATGATATGTGCTATGCATCATGTGCACAGCATGTGTATTTCCACATCCCTCAAAAAAGAAAAACCAGTTGACTTAAAACTTGGAAACCTCAATCCCAGTAAGAATGGTGCCCTCCTTTATAGGTGACATTGCATATAATTTTGTTGTAATTTACTGGCGTTAGTTTCCAAAGCAAAGGGAATGCTATCTCAGCTCTCCTATCATATAATCATGTCATTATCATGCCGTTATAAGGCTTTTAAAATTCATATAAAATGCAAGCCATTAAAATAAATTGATTTCTATTTGCTTAACTCATTTATAATTTTCTCGACTTAGTTGGTTTCAAGAATAAACTAAAGTCAATAACATACTTATCAACTCTCCCCAAAATATTACTTGTAGCAAAAGTCACAGATTCTAATCAAGTATGTTTTAATATACATTTGAATAATGCTGTAAAAATAAGGTTTTTTTTTCATTTTTTTTAACATTTTATTTATTTTTGAGACAGGGAGAGACAGAGCATGAACAGGGGAGGGTCAGAGACAGGGAGACACAGAATCTGAAACAGGCTCCAGGCTCTGAGCTGTCAGCACAGAGCCCGACTCGGGGCTCAAACTCACGGACCGCGAGATTGTGACCTGAGCCGAAGTCGGCTGCTTAACCAACTGAGCCATCCAGGCACCCCAATAAGCCATCCAGGCGCCCTCTTACAAGCATTGTTAGATACCATTTCTTTAAACAATAGATTATAATTTTCTAGCTCTATCTTTAACCAGCTTAAGTGCTACAGGGAAGTTACTTTAACATTCTGAGGTCTCAATTCCTCATCTGTAAAATGAATAAAATAGTAGTATCTACTTCAGAGAGTTGCAAGTGTTGAATAACATATAATACAGGGAATAATACAATGCCATACACAGTAAACTATCATCTTCTTGATTGAGTTCACCTTCTTTTAGAATCAATATTTAGCTATTTCCATACGAGGAAAATCATAGAGATCATGAAAAACACACATCATTTCTGACTTTTTTATGACAAGGCACAACTTTGGCAGTGTTCATCAGCAGCCTGTTTACCGACAGATATTTGAGGCCACCATTCAAATTAATTTCCATGAAGAAGAAAAGGAAAAGTTACTGTTTAGAACTCCAGAACAGCACATACACATTTTCTTGTTCAGAATCCATTTTCAGCACTGAATAGAAAGAGTAACTTAGAGTTATCAAAGGAAAATATCAAATGACAGGAGTATCTTCAAGTTCCAAAAACAAACAAACAAAACAAAACAAAACAAAACCCAAAAGACAAAGGGGTCTTTTAGAATGTAGCCAACAGTTAAACCATTCATATACCTACTGGATTAAGTTCAGTGACATCCCATTCAAGGTACTCTGCGACATGCATCATCTGACTGATGATATTTTCTAGTTCCTGGAGAGAAGAGAGTGGGGGGGGGTGGAGAAAGAGAGAGAGAGAGAGAGAGAGAGAGAGAGAGAGAGAGAGAGAATATGGATATGAATACAAGGTCTTTGTAAGTTTTTCAAACTTTTACTTACAAGAATTGTTTTCTTTAACATGTAGCTCAAAAACTAAAGGAGTTACATGATTAATTTATACCTATTATATAAAATTTATATATCTATATAGTAATTTATATACACATGTAATATATCCTTTTAACAGTCTGATTAACTATACATAAAAGATGCACTTGAATACAAATTCATTTTGTACTTTGTCTAGAAATCTTCACCAGGAGAGGGCACCAACTGCACAAAAAAAGATTTTCTTCCAAAAGATTTTTTTTTTAAGGAAGAAAATCTGTCTTGGGAAAGAACATCTGATCAAAGAAGAGACATGCATATTTTCACAAGATGTGATGTTTAAGTCACCAAGCATCCTGACCCTATGGCTTGGAAACAGGTGTGGAAGGATGAAAGGAAGTGTTTGAGGGCAACTGAGAAGTTTATTTTTATTCCGATACACTGAGAATGTATACTGACTGTTCTAGTCATTAAGTGGTATAATTTGCTCTGCTAGAGGTGCGTTCAAGGGTCAAAGTTTAGAGGCTAAGTACATGTAAAGTTTATTTTATGAGGAAATAGAATTTTAGTTAGAATCTTCATATTATTCTGCTCAAGTGTCAACTCTTTGAACAATGGCTAGTTAATACATATGACTTGACTAAACAAATTAAAGCATTTGCTCATAACTATTTATTTAATGCTTTAATTGTTCCCTGTATCCAGAATAGATTAAATATGCTTTTTAAATGCTAGTAATTTTAAATGTAGTCAATGACGTAATTAAAATTGTTGTTACAGTATAATAATGTAAAACTTTATACTTCTTATAGTATAAAAGAATAAGGTTTGAAAGCATATTAATCAAAGATAACTCTACTCAATCTAATCTCTAATCTACTAATCTCAGTCTCTGATCTAATATATGTACTTAACATTCATAAAGTGAAGAAGGAGATATGGTAAAAGAGGTTTTCTTTTGGGAGATAATGGATCCCTATAAAAAACTGATGGAAGCTACCCTACCATTCTCTAGAAAAATGTAATCATGAAAATGTTGCTTGTGTAACACAGGTTGCCCCCAAAAAACATACAAATATGAATGTGTTTACTTAATACAGATAAGAAAAAATTTAAACTAGTGTACCTTGGAATTATAGGCTAGAATTGTGCGTGTGTGTGTGTGTGTGTGTGTGTGTGTGTGTGTGTGTGTGTTACTCTGTCTTTGCCTACAAATATATGCCTTAGTGGTTTAGAAAGGTTAAACGTCCCTGGATATGCTTTTAGGAACAGAAACTATTTCTAGTGGACTATTATGTAGGCATGTTTAATTGACATCAGATAAGTCAACTAACCTAAGACTCGGTTTCCTCATCAGTAAAATGACTATTCTAATCTTACCTAGTTCGTAGAGTTGCTGCAAAGAGTAAACATGCTATGATATGAAATACATTTATGCCACCTGGCATAGTGCGAGGGATCAATAAATATTAACTAGCATTATTACACAACAGTGGTCATTTTTCAAAGTATCAATTTTCCTATGCCTTGCCTCCACTATGTGAAGTGTTATACCTTTACAATTCTAAGACAAATGACATCAGCATGTGCAATTTCAACCTGACAGTGAAGGCAATATATTGTTGTAGTAGGTTGTATGGAGAAAACCATAAAAACAAAATTTAGACCCTTAATTACAAAACAGACTACTTGAATCATAAATAAATTTATTTACCCCCAATTCATTGTTTAATATTGTATGTATAGTTATAAATATTGTTGGAAATATACTGTATGTTAACAACAACAACAAAAATGGCCAGAGACCAAAAAAGCATTTAATTTAATTTTCAAATCAGCTGCCAAACCATGGCTAAAAGTCTAGTAAAGAAACATCTTTTTAATTTAATTAAACAGAAACATTAAATAAAACAAATTTGCATTGAAATATAATCTGTATCAATATAGTCAGAAGTGCTACAATAAGCATATGGAAATATCTAGAAAAGTCTAAACTCCTAGCTGTGAAGTGCCACCAGAAAATGAGCAAATGTATCATGTAGCTTAATATTCCTAAATGGAAAACTGCACACTACCAGGCACTTAAAAATGATAGCATTTGAAAAACTGGAGGGACTTAAATAAGAAATCCTACAATCACAGCATCAATTTAGATGGGTGGTCATTTCCTAAATTAGGAATTATACGTTTTTATCTCTCTCTGGAGAAGCTAATGTGCCATTATCGTACTCAGCATTACATAAATATGTATCCAACTTCATTGCTTTGCCTGTAGAATTCTGTTTGGTTCTGTTAGAGGGAAGTATATCAGATGATGAGAGAAACTCACTCATTATCAGAAGTAATGCTCATTTTAATCAATTTAAAAATATCAAAACATTTGTTTTTTAATGTACCTGCATGCTTCAAAATTTCCACAACCTGATATTTATTATTTTATTAATATTCTTATATTTCCTTTATGGAATAGGCAATGATATAATATGAAAAATATATGATTAGGAAATGTAAATGCATTATTGGATGGAACCTGAAATGGATTTTCATTTGAGGCACTGATTCGTGCAGTAAAATTAAGAATCTAACTACTCTGAAAACTAACACTTATTTGTGTATATTACAAATAAAATAAACATTTAATTATTCATTTCAATTAAGTCATACAGAGATTGTATTTTTTTCCTATTGCTTTTTATGACTAAAATGATAAAGAATACAGTTTGCATTTATATTAGATGAGACATTTTAAAAAGGAGAGTTGGTCAAATCAATTTTTAAATATATGTATGTATTTTAACAGCATATATATGACCAAAAGACTTTAAAATGTGGCAAATGATAACATGATTGAATTGACTTTATAATTTCTTTTAATTCTACTGGTATTCTCGATAATTTCCTTAGTGTCAAACCTCAGATTTTTTTTTTTCTTTCTAGATCAATGATCTCAACTTTCTCTTGTATTATTCAAACAAGGTTGGGGTCTTTTTTTATCGTCCCATGCATAAAAGTCACTTTTTTCTAGTAAAATAATTCAATAGAACAATTGTAATCCTAACAGCCTTTTCAGGTCATTCTCTTTCAAAAATTCAGATGATAAAAATGCTGTGTGAGTGCATAGAAATTATATTAAGTGTGTCTTCTGTGGTAATAGCTATAAATTTATTCATTGCATTTTTCAGAACAAACTGCTTTGAAATTTTCACAGAAAATTTGAAGAAAAAAAATTACCGAGCTGTCCAGGAAGCCATTCCCATCTGTGTCATAGAGGCGAAACATAACTAGAAATAAAAGAGGTGTTGAAAAAAATATTATAGGTGAGTGAGATCAATGTTAGGATAAGACAGATTCTTCAAAATTTATTTTCTGTTGAAAGCAAATATTCAGGGGCGCCTGGGTGGCGCAGTCGGTTAAGCGTCCGACTTCAGCCAGGTCACGATCTCGCGGTCCGTGAGTTCGAGCCCCGCGTCGGGCTCTGGGCTGATGGCTCAGAGCCTGGAGCCTGTTTCCGATTCTGTGTCTCCCTCTCTCTCTGCCCCTCCCCCGTTCATGCATGCTCTGTCTCTCTCTGTCCCAAAAATAAATAAAACGTTGAAAAAAAAAATTAAAAAAAAAAAAAAGAAAGCAAATATTCAATCCTCTCCTACTTAAAGCAATTGATCTATGGGATGATTTCTCAAACTAATTTGCAAATGAATTCATCAGTTAACAAAAATATGAAATATCAGATACAAGGTCTATCAATTTTTGTTATGTATCTAGAAAACACTAAGAGGTACTATTCTTTGCTCATTTTTTTTATTACAAGATCATTAAATGAAAACTCAAAAATGAAAGAAGGAGTTTAGACATTCAGAATGCAGATATTAAAGGGCAGAGTGAATAAGAAGAAAGATGTAATTTGGAGGTGTGTAACCCAAATTCGGAACATGCGATCCTCTAGTACATGAGCATAGTCAAACACTGTTTTCTTCTCTGTAAAATGAGAACAAATACCCTGTCATAAAACACACTTGTGAAAGTTAAGTGAGGTGATACACATAAATGCATATCCAAAGCTGTCGGTCAGTACACAAATGTAAGCCCTTGTTTTGATTGATCCCTAAGCAGTATGGGAAAGGATTAGTGCAAAACAAGGGAATTTTTCTGACGGAGGACAACAAGACACAAAATGCATTACTACCACGGTTATAATGGTGTATTTGTTGCAGTCTGAGAGGTAGTTTCATAGGGTACCCACTCTTTGAACTAATGAGTCAGGAAAAGGGAAGTGCTGTCTCTGTGGTAGCCAGCACAGGAAAGCCAGAGGACAGTGGGTCTCAATGGCCTGAGGATTCCCTCATAAATTCACATACCACCAGGAGACCACAGCAGAGGCTGCAGGTGCCATTTTGAGATAAACAGAGAAGACTGACACAGCTGTTAAAACAGAGGAGTGGAAGTGAGAGTTTTTGTTGGGTTTGCATAATTTCTGGGAGAATCTTGATGTCTGAGGTCTATCGTATTAAATAAAGACATTGATAACAAGGGGGCATAATTATGCAATGGCCTTGATCATATATCTGTAATTATTATTTTTGTATTTAAAAACAATCATTATACTTCACCAATCAAAGATATGATTATGTATTTATAAGATGTATAGCCCGTCTGCATACAACGAACTGGAAAAAATGCTTGCAATGTAACTATCATATACTATTTATTGTAAAACGCAAAAAGACTTTAAAGATGTTAAAATGTAAGGGGAAAGTGTGTACCTATTGAGTTAAGGAACATAACGTTAGGCTGGCTAATGATGTAAATATCTTTATTTGCAAACCATGATGATTACTCTCTCTCGTGTACTCAATAAATGACAAAAATTCAGAAAGGAAAAAACCTACCACAACATGGATACTAAGATTTTCCAGAAAAAAGCAGAAAATAAAAATCACTTGTTAAGCGGCAGGAATTCATTCACACATCGCCCAAAGAACGGTTTCAGTGCAGGGAACAAGGAAAAGACTTACAAAAGCCTAACTTTATTTATTTATTTATCTTTATTTATTTATTTAAGTTTGTTTATTTTTTAGAAAAGCGGGACAGACACACACACACACACACACACACACACACAGAAGAGAGAGACAGAGAGAGAGAGAGAGAGAAAGAGGGAGAGGGAGAGGGAGAGGGAGAGGGAGAGGGAGAGAGAGAGACTGACTCAAGTAGGCTCAGCACAGAGCCGATTCAGAGCTGGAACTCCTAAACCGTGAGATCATGACCTGAGCAGAAGTCAGATAGCTTAATCCACCAAGGCACCAAGCCTAACTATTTTAGAATGGGGGGTACTGGTGACTCTATTAATCCTATCTTATTGTAGTAATCCTTATTATAATAAATGACTATGAAACCATTTTCACATGGTCAGATATATGGAGCTCTACACTTCTTGGTAAACCCTGTTGGAAACATAACCTCAAAAATACACACACAAGTGGACTCTGTGCGGGGGTATCTGCCATTTATTTTTGGCACCGTCTGCAACTTCTTTCTATGTTCTTAAAGCCACACGTTACAAAACACAGTAACAGATGACTTGTAGGGAGAGTTTTGCACATGGCATCGGCTCTACTATTCAGAAGAAAATCCTTGTTAATCGATCAGATGCTAGTGACCCAAGAAAAAATGTGCTATACAAATTCATTCTGGTGATGTGAGGCAGGAGTAGCAGTAATCAGAGAGGGCGCATTCGGAGTCCTGGATGTGTCAGCACTGTTGGCAATGAACAGTGCTCTCCCTGTGCACGGAGCGGCAGCAATGGGATTTTTCCCCGGTCCAATTCTGTACTTAAGTTCACCACTGATCCTAGAAAAGTATCCTCCAGATCTGGTTCTCTGCCTCTGCTAATGATTCTCTGTGTTCCTCGATATCATTAAAAAACAATAACCAGCTCTATTAAAAATCAAATTAATTAGGGTGCCTTGGTGGTTTGGTCGGTTGAGCGTCACACTTCGGCTCCAGTCATGATCTCGCCTTTCATGGGTTCCAGTCCTGCATCGGCTCCATGCTGTCAGACGGAGCATGCTTAGGATACTCTGTCCTCCTGTCTCCTGTCCTCCACATTCCCCGCTTATGTGTTCTCTCTTTCTCTCTCTCAAAAATAAACCTTACAAAAATCCTAAACATAGGATATGTTTTAAAAGTTAAATTTAATTAATTAAAAACTAACCTGTTTTTCTGTCTTGCCCAGTGATATTGTGCACTCAACATTGGTACTTAGTTCACATCAGACATAAAGGTTAGATCAAGAAAATTTTAAGTGTAAATTGAACTTAAAAAAAAATGTGACTTTAATTTTAACACTAAAGCTAAATTATAAAGCTTCTAGAAGAAAATACAGGAAAATATCTTTACAATCTTAAGGTAAGCGAATATGGACCATCAATTATTTTTTTTAAAAAATAGGTAGGGGCGCCTGGGTGGCTCAGTCGGTTAAGTGTCCGACTTCCGCTCAGGTCATGATCTCACGGTCGTGAGTTCGAGCCCCGCGTCAGGCTCTGTGCTGACCTCTGGGAGCCTGGAGCCTGTTTCAGATTCTGTGTCTCCCTCTCTCCGACCCTCCCCCGTTCATGCTCTGTCTCTCTCTGTCTCAAAAATAAATTAAAAAAAAAAAACGTTAAAAATATAAATAATAGATAATTAAGCTTCATCAGAATTAGAACTTCTGTTCATCAAAAGATAAATAAGAGAAAGAAAGGGAAAAAAAAGGAAAGAAAGAAAGGAAAAAGAAAAATAAGAACAAAATAATCCAGCCACAAATTAAAGAACTTTTGAAAACACAGATGTCTGATAAAGGGCTTATTTCTAAAATATATTAACAAACTTTATAGCTTAGTAATAAAATGACAAACAACCCAAATAAGAGAGAGTCAAAAAATATTAAACAGATATTTCAAAAATGGAAGATACATGAATAGTCAGTCAAAATAAAGTGTTCAAGATCATCAATCATAAACAAAATAAAAATTTAAGCCACAGAGACCACCATACACCTATTAAGAAGACTCTGGAATTCAAAAAAATTAAATGAACAAATTCAAACAAATTAAAAAAAAATACTATGTCCAAATTGTCTATGTGTTCCCAGTAGAGATGTTGGTCTGAAAGTTTTTTCATTATTGTCTAAAGTAGAAGTCCTGACATCTTTTGAATAATTTCTAAACACACTGACAGAGGATAATGGTTGCTTATGAATTCTCTTTATTTCATCAAGGAAAAAGGTGGAAAAATAAAAGTTCTAGTCAATAAGAATAGCAGTCATATAAACGGCATGCATATATTGAACAGTAAATCTAACATACTCTAAATCTGACCAAGACTAAATCAAGAATTTCTTCCTTCCTCCCTTCCTCCCTTCCTCCCTTCCTTCCTTCCTCCCTCCCTCCCTCCCTCCCTCGCTGCCTCTTTCTTTCTTCCTTCTTTCCTTCTTTCCTTCCTTCCTTCCTTCCTTCCTTCCTTCCTTCCTTCCTTCTTTCCTTCCTTCCTTTCCCCCTAATAAGAGAGAGAAATTCTAGGATTTTAGTTTTCAGAGACAAGTCTATTTTCCTAATTTAAAGTTATAGTAGTGTCATGCAAAATATGAAGTATTAAACACATTTGTCGACATTGGCTGTGTATTGAAGTGCGACTATGGTAATAGTAATGTATGAAATAGACATAAATCAGGGTGCCTGGGTGGCTCAGGTGGTTAAGTGTCTGACTCTTGATTTTGGCTCAGGTTATGATCTCACAGTTCTTGAGATCGAGCCACACATCTGGCTCTGCGCTGACATTGCAGAGCCTGCTTGAGATTTTCTCCCTCTCTCGTTGTCTCCCCCACCCCCTCCACCAAAAGAAAAAAATAAGCATCTAAAAAAAGAAAAAAAGAAATTAGCATGAATCAACAAGCACAAGGAAAATGTAAGAGGAAAAAAAAATTGGAAGCTGGAAAACACATGTTGAGTGACTTGGAACCCAGAGAATATAAACTTAAGTGAAGAAGCAGCAAAGATTTGCACAGAAAGGGTGATGAGATGAAAATTAAGTGATAATCTTCATGAAAAGAAGTTAGACCCTCAAATACTACCCTTCATACCATCCACCTAACAATATGCCAGCTCCCTACCCCAGGAGAAGAGTGGACACTGTGCTCTATGCAAACCAAGAGGATGCTGAGCTCAGGCTGCTTAGGACTGTTGATGGGAGGGGCACTACACCAAAATCAGGGTGTTTATGTGAAAATCTATACATTGAATATTAA